ATATATATATATATATTTAATAATATACAATCACAAGAATTTCTAGTTCTCTCGAACGACTAAAAACTCTCAGAATAAAACGGTACTTAGCAATAACTATTAATTTATTGTACCTAAAATCATTTGTTACGAGTAAAAATAATTTAAGTAACAACTTCAATTTTTTTAAAAAAAAAATTTGGATGGAAGAGTACCTTGTACTTGTTACTGATTATCTTATGATATTATTAGACGAGGCTATCACAAAAGCTTATTTTGTCATCAAGACCACTTTAGTTATAATCATACACAATTTTTTTTTTTCAATAAAGAAAAGGGTTTGTGACCACCGGGGTGCTTTTTTTAAAAAACAAAAAACAAAAAACAAAAAGCAAAAAAAAATACCCAAACTTCATTTTTAATTATGGGAAATCATGAGATAACTTTCTCCAAGTTTTCTCAAAAAGGTTTACATGCATGTATGGTAATTTTAATGCTGAGGTTCATGCTTTCCAAAGAAGGCCTTTTTTTTGTTTTTTTGTTTGTAAAAAAAAAAAAAAGCTTTAGTTAACTTGCGCTAGACGTCAGTTTTAGGACACCCCCAGCCATATTAATCATTTTATGTTGTTAATTAAAATAGTTAATGATTTAGTTTTTCCTATTTTAGGTTTCTCCACTTCAACCATTAACTATTTTAGAGAATACCTTTCACACTAGTTAAATATAGTTAGCATAGAGTGGTTAACCATTTCATTTTTTGTATTATTTTATTCTTCCAAACCACAATAAATGTAAAAGTTTTTTTAAAAATTAAATAAAGTTATTCATATTTTAAATTTAATAAATATTAAAATAATTTATATTTAGTTAAAATAGAGAGTATGATTGGAGTGATTTATTAAAAAAAAAATTATTAATTAAAATAACTTTTTAATTATTTTAATTAAAATTTATGGACACAAAATTTTGATAGATAGCAAATATCTATTTAAAGTGGTTAATAATCAAAGCGGTTGGCTGAATTGGCACTTTGCAGTACATTCAATTCATGGACCACAATTTGGATTATTTGATCCCATCTCTTGTCCAACAATCCATGTGCACAAAACATTAGTCACTATTTCACCCATCATATTTAAGTATTTCCTCCTTTTACAGGATTTGCTTTTTGTTGTTACTGTTTATGTTTGTTTGAGAGAGCAAGTAATTATTCTAGCTAATAATTAATCAAATTTTCTCAACTCATCCGTCACTAAAATCGAACTTAGACTCAAATTTTCTATTCAATTTTATCGTCATAAATAAATTTAATCTAGCTAATAATTAATTAAATTTTCTCAACTCATCCGTTACTAAAATTGAACTTACACTCAAAATTTCTATTGAATTTTTTCGTCATAAATAAATTTAATTGTCTATTTTATATCACGTACTTTCATAAAACTTTAGAAAAATCTTTTTCCTAATTTTGTTGTATCTTTCTATCTCATTCCTTATAATAATGTAGCATAATGTCAATAATGTTGAGAGGCATTAAAAATTGAACTAATATCTGAATGCACTAACTACAAGTTCTGAATTGTGCTATAAGAAGAATTAAATATGATGCGTGAAATAGTGACAAGCCCTTAATTGAATATTGTTCACGGTGTCAAGTTTTGATAGTAAAGGATGAGTGAGTATCGTCTTTACAGAGATTTGGTATTAAAGTTTTGCTAAATACTGTGATTATCGTAACTTAACTTTATCTAGGCAAGTGAACTAAATGAAACAAAAATAGAACTAGAACAAATATTAATACAAAAATAAAATAAATATATAAACTTCTATACATAAACGTACTACACTTTATCATTCATATGTTCACACTTTTTAATTATTTTTATTTACCTTTCCTATTTATTATTTTTAGTTTCTTCCCTATTGAACTTAAAAATAAAAAATCCACTACGCCTAAAGTTTCAACCAAAAAAAAAGATATAACAAAAAGATAATATTAAAATAATAAATTAATTTATATGGAGTGTGTAGTAAAAAAAGGTGTGAAGAATAAAGAGGTGGGTCAGTGTGGAGAGCGTTAGTTTTTGAAACGTTTTCAAGTGCGGAAGTGTGGTGATGCGGATTTTGTATAACAAATCATTTTTACAAAATCTTTTAAATATGCTATAGATTATATTAATTTATGCCAAAATAAATTAATCTTATTATTATGTAACAAAAGATACATTGCTAACAATTAGGAAGATAACTTGAGGTCTTTGGCTAACAAGCGTTCCTTGCTTCAAAAGCTTTCTTAGAACACCTAAGCCTTCCTCGTCTACTCCTTGATTTTACAAGACGATGAGTGTGGGCTCAAGGTATAACTATCGGAATGTTCACTCGCTTATTTTCTATCCTTTCACTATCAACGCATGTATGTGAAAGAATTAGAAAAATTAGAAGAAATTTTCTTCTCTTATCTTTCATGGGAAATTCGGCCAACCTAGGGTAATTGGGAGAAAAGTCAATCAACCTTCTCCAATTTCTATTGTCTCTTATTTATAGACAATTAGGAGAAGCCTTTGCTTGTAGGCAAAGAAAAATAGAAATTGGCAACTACTATTAAAAATATAGTTTCCATTTTTCTTTTGGTAACAAAAATCGCTTCCCTTTTTGCTATAGGTGTGGCCGGCCATCTTCTAGGAAGGAAGGAGAAAATTACTTCCTAATCCAGTTTCCAATTTTAGCTTAAATTTAATTTCAATTAAAGTAACATCTACTTTCCTTATTGAATTTAATTGGAAAAACTTGTCGAACAAGTAAATCGGATTACTTGGAGAGCAAGCAACTAAAATCCCAATGTCACAAATCCCCTATGGTCCCACCACAATGTGACACAATAATTAAATAATCACATCATTTAATATATAATTAATTCTCAATTAATTATTCACAAGTGAAATAAATTCCTAATAATTCATCTTGTCATGCAAATAATACAAGGATGACGGGGGGACTTATGGACTTATAATTTTGAGCTCTAATAAAATTAATAATTAATTAAACTCTTTAATTAATTATTTAATTCTATTAATTCTTAAAGTTACTCCACTAAAAACATAGAATTGCACTCTTGAAATTATAGATATAATTTAATTGTAAGAACTTGAAGCGTCCATTTGATATACTCACCACATATAGATCGATCCTCTATAAATAATTCATAATTAAAGCTAGGTAAAATCTGTTAACCTCTCTAATTACATCTTTATCCTTGAGTACCAATGATTCTCTAATGAGTAGTATATTCATAAAACACATTCATGAATATGAGCTCTTTACTCAAGGAAATTATTTATCTGTTTCTTCAAAGAGGAATGAAAGGATTCTAGCTTGTATATTAGCATTCCCGGTTACCCATTTCATCATGTTTCCAAGAGACAAGGAATACGATTTAGAATCTCAAAATCCGTACCGAGTACGTCAAAGAACACGAATTCATAAATAGGAGTCAACTAATAACTCGGGATTAAGATCATTCTATATATGACCATTAGTAGACTCAAATTTAATTTTCTATACTTAACGGAAATTATCAGAAAATCAAATTGTGTCTGTGTCCCAGTTTTACATAATCTCATTACGCATAATACACTCATTTAATATCTTTCTATATTAATGATGTGGATAACATCATTCCATTCTTAATAGGAATGACATGTATTAGTAATGTTTTAATTAAAAGATTCTGAAACTTCAATTAAATTCATTACGAATATTGTTTCAATTATTATTCTTAAATATTATCCTCTCATATATAACACTTATATACAATATTTAAGATTACATAAATAATCGCATAATTTTTAATGATATTCATAATGTATTCAATAATGCATGCACATAAATAATGAATAAACTGTTTTATTAATCAAATAATAAAATATCCTTATTACATCTCATACTTTAAGGACACCTATCCCAACTTGAGAGAAAAGAAGAAACCAAAATCATCCTTAATGATTTTATAAAAGTAGTTAGGGGTAATTTTAGAATAATAGGAATGTGTAAAAAAAAAATTTCATTATTTAAAAATTATGTAAAGTGTGTAGTTAGATGAGGGTGTGAAAAGTAAAAAAAAGTGTGAATAGAACCACCCTTCAAAAAAATTTAAAGAAAAAGTCCAATTTGTCCTATTTAAATTCCATGAATTACAAGTGCCCACTAATTGGTGCTTATTTAGTACTAGTGTGAAGGCGTGCATTTCTTTTAGAAAGAATTATTGACGTTATCAGTGCATAAATCTACACTTTTACTTATTACTTTTAATTAATATTTTTGAATTAAGTAATTATATTATTTAAAAAGATATTAATTAAAAATAAAGAGTAAAAATAAAAGAAAGATAATTCGAAAAGGAACTTTTGTGAGAATAATTGCTAATGGAGTATTATCAAAAATAGTAGTTGAGATGATTGCAGTAATTTCTTCTTTAACAGAAACACGTTTAAAAAAATCAACGAGAAACAATAATTATGAGTAAAATAGTAGTTGAGAATGTCATTGAAAAAGGAAAACTATAGTAGAATAAGGAACAAATTAGAAGAAAACAATATTTAATGATTCAAATAACGAAATAAAAGAAATAAGATTTCAATTTAAAATAAAAAAAGCTCTAAATTAACAAGAAAGGAAAAAAGCTAAAAACGTTAAAAAAAAAAAACAAACAAACAAAGACAAAAGCATTAAGGGTGATATGGATGTGAAGAATGTTTTTCTAAATAGAGAGTTGGAAGAGGAAGTTTATATGGAACCATCACCTAGATTTGACAAACACTTTGGATCTAAGGTGTGTAAGTTGAAAAATCATTGTACGAGCTTAAGCAATCTCTAAGAGTCTGGTTTGAACAATTCACTTGATCCAAAGAAAATCAGGAATATGACCAAGCTCAAAGTGATCATACTATGTTCATAAAGCACTCTGATGATGGGAAGATTGCAATTTTGATAGTGTATGTGGATAATATAATTCTTATTGGGGATAATGTTACTAAAACATATCGTTTGAAGGAAGTATGGCTTCATAATTTGAAATTAAAGACTTGGGGTCTGTAAGATACTTTCTTGGAATGGAAGTTGCTCGCTCAAGAGGGGAATTTGTTGTTTCACAAAGAAAATACGTTTTTGATCTTCTTAAAGAAACGAGAATAAGTGGGTGCAGACCTGCCGATACTCCAGTCGATCCTAATAAGAAGCTAGGATATACCAAAGATGGAAATCCTGTGAATATAACTCGGTACCAGAAGGTGGTAGCAAAACTAATCTACCTATCTCACACCCGACCAGTTATTGCATTCACAGTTAGTATGACAAGTCAGTTTATGCACTCACTATATGAAGAACATCTTGAGGCAGTGTATCGAATCCAAAGATATTTGAAAAGTACTCCAGGAAAAGGACTTTTTTTTTTCAAGAATAACGAGTAGAGGAATGTTTAAGCATACACAGAATAGCACGAAGTAGTGCAGAGGCTGAGTACCGGGCTATGGCTTATGGAGTATGTGAAATGTTGTGGTTAAAAAAGATTCTTGAAGAATTAAAGAAGCCAATGGAGATGCCTATGAAGCGATATTGTGACAACAAGGCCGCAATTAGCATTGCTCATAACTCGGTGCAGCATGACAGAACTAAACACGTTGAGATTGACAGACACTTCATAAAACAGAAACTGGAGGCAGGTGTTATCTGTATGCCGTTTGTTACAACAATACAACAAATAGCTGACATTTTTACGAAAGGATTATTACCAAGCTTTGAGTTTCTTATCAGCAAGTTAGGCATAATAGATATCTACGCACCAACTTAAGAAGGAGTGTCGAGGATTTAGGAGTGGTAGTTTTGAGAATTTAGGAGTTTATTCTTAGTTTCAGGAATTTAGGAGTTTATTCTTTATGTTTCTAATAAATCCAAATAAAGTAGTTAGTGGTTCCTATTTTTATGCTTTTCCTTTTTTTCGTGTAATCTAGTAGATTAGATGAGATATTTGTGGAACTACTCTACTATAAATATTCTTGTAATTCAGTATTATGATAATAAGAATATAAGAATATTTTTTCTTGAAAGCTTTCAACAAGTGACTTCCTACTAGCATTTTTCTCTTGTTATCTCAAAGAGACAGTTACTCTAATTTGGGGCACCGGTCCCTCGCACCCCTGCTTACTCAGCCTCTCATCCATATACCATACCATAAAATCTCTTAAAACATAAAAACATAATAAGCAAATATCAGAATCTCTTTCAAAATAATTAATCATGAATACTCTTTAAACATAATCATATAAGAATTTCATAAGAGAATAAGCTTGCATAAATCACAATTCTAAACAAGTTATGTCAAATAGGTCTTGTGATGCAGTTTTAAAAATGTTTTTACTCTACTTACTTGAATTTCGATCATCACTTTGCAAGCACAAACTAGCTGGTTGTGGGGAGCCTTCAATGTGCTAATTAACCTTTAAAAATCATAACTTTCAAAAATCACATTCATATCATCATTTAACAAAACATATAACTGCGCATTATTACGAAAATATTCATAATAAATTCATCCAAACTCAAAATATTATGAAACCAGTGGCAAATAAAAGTAGGCTCAAAACCCTCTTTTTAAGACTACTATGTGATAGGTTTCAGATTTTTTTAAACTAACCAAAAACAGTCTGAAATCCGGACTGAAGTATAATCTCGTCAGGAAAATGACAGCTTTTTAGCTGAACTTATAAAATTCATAACTAAATGTAGAAAAATATGTTTAGAGTGATTCAAAAACTCACGTAAAGCTTGAGATGTATAATTTAATAAAAAAAATATAAGATCAGTAAAAAACAAAATTATATATAGCACGAAAACAGAATCTACATAGGATGTACAGAGGACTTATATTTGAACATTTCATCAAATACCTAGCATGCAGATCTTAATCTTCAAAGACCCCTCTGAAATAGATGAATCATCATCCTAATAAGAGTTTATCTTCAAATAATCATCAATAATATCAAGCTATAATCAATAATAATATCAAGCTATAATCATCAATAATATCAAGCTAAAATCATTAATTTCACCCAGAAACCAATATTTGAACCAAAACCTCAAGAACCTCATTTTTAAGAGTCTACAACTAATATGCATGATAAGCCACATCAAAAATCCGAATCTCAAGTAGGATTTTGACATCTTAATCTCTGAAATCTTAGTTTCTAACATAAAAAAAAAAAAGTTACCTCAAGGAAAAACGCGTTCCCAAGTGAATAGAAGCTCAAAATCTTGATGGTTATATTTGGTTATAGGCTGAAAATGAGTTGAAATGGGCTGGTTGAGTTTTTAGCTCATTCTCTCTTAAAAACTTAGGTTTGATTCTGAGTTTGGGTGAGAAAAGGAGTGAGAAGAGAAGAAAGTGCTATGGTCGTAGTTCTAGGGTTTTTTTTGAAATAGACCCAAAAATGAAGTCTAAACTTGATAGAAACTAAACAAAAGTAGAGTGACCTTATAGTAGAACAAGTGTCTTGGTTTTTCTAAGTCTCTAATAGCTACCTTAACCTCATAAAATCAGCTCCTAAGTCTCTATTTTTCTTCTTCAATTAGGTGCCTAAAGTTCACTCAATTTGCTAACATAGACTTCTCTCACAAAAACTCAAAATAACAACTAAGTCATCAACACATTTATATAAAACCATATAATAAAAATATAAAATAGTAATCCATCATTAAATCAATCATAATTGAGTTACCACATCGAGCTAATTGCACTGTACATTAAAACTGAAAACTTGATTAGCAAAGCTATAAGTTTAATAAAATCATATGATAGCGATAATAATAAAATATAATGCCAACAAATAACTTTGTGATAAATGATAAATATGGTACATGATTTTAATTTACTAAATTTATTTATTATTAACTTAAGGCTTAATTAAATTTCAGGTATTATGCAAATTGTCCCCTGACGTAGTAATCATTGATTGATTACAATCTAAACAGAAACAAACATGCTGATTGATTGTTTTTTTCCTAAAGACTGATTGGCTCAATTCAATTGCACATCCGGACAAAAGAGAGCGAGATAAGCTTAGCTATCTAATAAATGTTGAAGAGCAAGTATAACTTGTTCAGTCAATCAATAATTGACTTAGTCAATCAATGATTGACTATGCACTTCTTGGACATTTTAGAGTAAACAAATCTTTTTTTATGGGGGATAATGTTGACTATTTTTCACTTGATCTGAAAGCCGACAAAGAACAGGATAAAGATACTGATGGTGTCGAGTTCTAGAAGACAAACAAGCTTAGTGAGAGTTACAAGAGTTACATTGATGATCATGTACTTGAGCGCAGATTTGAGTTGGCGCCTAGGTAGAGAATTGGATTATGAGACAACAGCAATGTTGAAGTGATTAAATCTTTAAGTTTGTGTACTACAATAACAATTAAGCTAGTTGAGATATCCATTTTAGGCTACTTTTGAATAAATAAGTTTGGTTGAAGTACGTGTGAGTTCTGTTAGTACCAGTTAGAGTTTTTTAATACTTTGTAAGACAATATAAATAATGCAGAGACGTAAAATAAAAGAACATGAGGGAAATGGTATCGCGGTTCGGTCACAACTTACTCTGCGGGGCCACACCCAGAAGATGAACAATACACTAAGAACTCTTTTACAATTCAATTGGACTTAATCTACCCGAGACTCCTTCTCTAAGAAGACGCCTATAAACTTGCAATTTCCCAATGGACTTGAACAATGAGATCCCCTCGACTTTTTAACATTGGAAGCCCTCCAACTAAGTTTTTCTCCTAAAAAATACTCAAAATCATCTCTCTGAATACAAGTGCTCATCCATGTCTCACAACCCAGAAAAACTAATCACCCCTGTCTCTGAAGACTCAAGAGACACTTTGAATAAATAAGTAAAGTGTGAATAGCTTGACACCTCTTCAATTAATTCGCTGAACCAAATCTGTTGCAGATCCTTGTTGCAACAATAACTGCAACATAGCTGTCAGAATCATCTCTGAAAAAACCAGTCCGAGAATCAATCTTCTTAAATCCTGAAATCTTTCCGAAACTCATATATGAATCTGGACACATTCCTAGGAGACAGAGAAAGATCATCCAGCTGCGGAAACTCAATCAAATATCAATCAAATCACCAATTATCAATTTACCATCTTTGGATCAATAATTGACTTTCAAAAATAGAAACTATATTCAGTTTCTAGATATGCAATAACTTTCCATTTCCCACAAATCTTCTAGGATACTTCCTTCCTTCTATTAATCTCTAATCTTCTAGGATACTTCCTTCCAAACACTGATTTCTATCAAGAAAAGAACATTCCATATTTGAAGCAATCAAGCAACTAAAAACACATCCGATCTTCTCCATAAACGCCAGTTGCCAAAAATACCTGTTTTTAAATTTTTACGACCAATGCTAACAAATTGTCCTAACAATTTCATTTTATGTAATTGTACTTGAGTTGACTTATCTTCAAATGAAGGTTGAGTTCAATTAGTGTGATCTCATAATTTGTAATATGTATTGAATACTTTAATTTTTAGCTGCCTTGCATTTATAATGATTGGATTGTATTTGACATGTTTTATGCCGAAGAGTACTTCTATTTAGGCTTAATATTATTAAGTTAAAAAACAAAAAAACAAAACTCATCACGTTATATATATTATCTCCTCATTTTTTCCCTTTTTATTACCACTAATCAGCTAATGTTTTGAGAATTGGTGTCTAACTAATATTTTTAGAGAGGAAGGCATTCAAAAACCCCGAATATCATAGCTAATTAATAATTTAATAGTTATATCAACATATCCGTTCAAAAAATTAATATAATCAAGATGGAGGGAGGAAAGTTGGAGGCATATCATATTTCGGATTTTAAAGTTTATGGGGTATATTGACACAAATAACAAAGTTTAAGGGGCGTTTATAAATATTTCTATTAGAAAACTTGACGGAATTAGACTCAATGAGCATGTTAACATAAGTAATAAAATTTAAAGGGGCACAATTTACACATTTTAAAGTTTAGAGGTATGCTGACACAAGTGACAAAGTTTAAAGAGAATTTATAAAATTTATTATCTCTTTTTTAGTCTTTTCACATTAAAAATTTAACCAACTCTTATGATCGTATGTCAATAAAATGAAACAAGCCAAACAGCTTCCCATACGCATGGAATGATCCTCGTGCCCTTGTGGAGTCCAGATGGGGCACACCCCATGTGAGTGCGGAGCCGCAGCTCTCCAGGGCTGTTTAGCAGGGTTCCAATAAAATACAGGGTTACATTTATTACTATCTATTTCTAAAACGCAGCGAAAAAAACGTTGCCGTTTTGATACTGTGATGTAATAAAAGATCCCATAATAAAGCCTAGTAGCAGGTTTTACTTAATACTACATCGTACCATTTCATTTAGCCGCCGCCTCAGAACATTGCTTCTCGCCTTCAATGGACGCTGGTGGAGATGAAGACAGTACGGAAAGGATAATTGTTGGAGTACGCCACCAATACTTGTCTTCAACTTCAACTACAAATGAATATTTAAGGTATATGATACTTTGAATATATGTAATCAGTTTTTTTTTTTTTTTTTGGCATGTCTAAAGTGAAACAGAAATACTGATTGATTGTTTTTTTTTTCCCTAAATATTGATTGGCTGAATTCAAATGCACATCTGGACCAAAGAGAACAAGATAAGCTTAGCTTTGAAGAATAAACCAATACAACTGTAGTTGAGGAATAGGTATAAGTTGTTCAGTCAATCAGTGATTGGCTCCAATAGATCAATGATTGACTATGTACTAGTAGATAAGCTTAGCTTTGAAGAACAAGCTGAAATATCCCGTTTAATATTATGTTAATTTATCAATTCATCACAAAAATTTAAGTCGTTAAAAAGTAGATCAACAATAATTTTATAATAATATGCAATCACACATTCAACGATCGCGCGTGTGTGTATATATATATATGCACACATACATGACCGTACTTTATTACATGCTCTGGGGCTTTCATTAAAATCCAACGTACAATAGTAGCCCTGTTAGTTTATTGGTGTACCCAAACTGAAAGGGAAATATCTATCATACACACAGGTATATAATATATATATATATATAAGTATTATGAACTCGACAAACAGCAGACCTTGTCGAGCTTTATTATAACAATAAACTTATTTTGTTATGGCTTCGGCGGTTCGGCCTCAGCTAGTCATGCCTTCAAGAAGAGACAATGAACGGATAACCGTGCTTTATATCATAAAGCTTCTTTGCAAACCTGCAACCATGTAAATTGGATAAGCGTACAAAAGTCTAATAGAATTGTAAACTGTATTTTTATTTATATACTAGTTAATGCTACGTGCTTCACACGTGTGAAGCTCTTTATAGAGGTTGGATAACATTATTCTCATAGTTTTTTTTTCCACAATTAGGTTTAATAGTAAATTTTATGTGAGAGAAAATACTATAGAAAAAAATTAAATTCGAATTTTTTTGAGAAAAACACGGATGCTACAGAAAAAAAATTGAATTGTGATAAAAACACTAGCAAAAACATTTATGTATTTTTAAGATATGATGACAAATATTTATCAATTTTGATCTTTGTATCAAGTTCAAAGTACTTATTTATTCTAAACAGTGAAAACAACGAATTAACTTTTAAACTATTGTAAATTATTTTATCATCATGGCGTAGTAATTTTATGCATAAAAATTTAAAATAAATATTATATATTAGTTAGATTGATTCGTGAGAAAAGAAAACCAATTTCATAGAAGAAAGAAAACAAAACAAAAAATCCTGATGAAAGAAAGAAAGCAAAAAAATAAAAAATAAATTTCCTTCAAAAAAAGTATGATATATGAATTTATGACAAACTTATTGAATCTTTTTCACCAATTTAATATTTTTAAAATTTTAAGCGATATGAAAAGATTAAAAAAAAAAGCACATGAAGACATAATAGAGAGACTATATTTTTTAATAGTAAAAAAAGGAATTCTCATTTATATAATATATATAGTATACATTTTAAATTTATTAAATGTGCCTCACTATTCTTTTCATTAATATGCTCTATTAAAAAATGCGGCCTTTTAAGGATTTTTTTGTTAATATAGCTATATAAAAATATGCCTTAGTTAACTCTTTTTTTCTTTTCTTTTTCCAACACCCTCAAATACTATTTCTCACATATAGCCTAAACTTTCTTTGACAAACAACAAAAAATGTCTCCATCAGAGAAGGAAAAAACACATTTAAATATGAATGGATTTGAGAAAATTATTTTATTGTGGTGATTAGTTAAAAGAAGTATTTGTAAAAGTAACTTAAATAAAATAATTTTTTAAATGATTAAAAAAGAATAATTTAATTGAGGATATATTTGAAACAAATTATTTCAACATAGATAAATTAAAATAAAAATATTTTGATACTACGTATTTAAAGATATATGATGTTAGGGGGGAAAAAAAAAAGAGAAACGAAAAATTTTTAAAAGTTGAAAAAAGGAAAAAGAAACGAAAAATTTTTAAAAGTTGAAAAAAAAAAAAAGAGAATATGACAAAATAAGAATAAGATAAAATAACTTTATCAAAATAGGAGCTCTCATCTAATATATATAGCTATAGATTATAGATTATAGATTAATCGAGACACACGCATCATATATATGACGCGAAGCGTCATTATTATAATAGAAAATGTTAAAAGAGAACTAGCTAGAAATACGTTGAATGTATAATATAGTCCAAGCTTATTATAATTTAAGATTTAGTGCAATGTTATTTGTCGTTTAACTCTTCTTAAGATGTAACTTCTAACTAATCAGAGGTCAAAGGTATATATATGTGTGTGCGTGTGTGTGTATTATAATGAAAGAGAAGTCAAACTCACTTTTTGAGTGCTTCTGCATAGGTTTCATCGGTATCAACCTCAGAGCGTTCGAAGGTAGCAGGATTGAGGTGTGTAACAGGCTTGTTCAACAAGTTTTTGGCATACTTCTCTAATTTTTCCAAGTTCGCAGGGGAACCGTTATCCAAGCGAGCAAGGTCTTCCGGCAATTTATCGTCCTAATTTGATGAATGTAAGTCATTATGCATTAATAAGGTTAATTACTAAATAACAGATAGAAACTAACAAATAGTCAACTTACAAAATCCAAGAAAGGAAAATCAGTAATAAGCAAAAGAACATATTTCCAAGGATTTTTGGATATATATATATATATCTATAGACACATTGCTTTTGAATGTCATAGGAGATTCTACGGTTGAACTTAAAAATAAACAACTAATAGATGAGATTTACATTTTTCATCAGTCATCAAATCTATTTTAAAAACTATTTATTCTACATATTTTTTGTTATTATTTTGATGTGATTTTAAATCTTTTATTATATCTAACAGTTAAAAACACGCACTACTCGCGACATGTGATATTACATATATATATATATATATATACATACATATTCACAAATAGATTTACCTGAACACGAAGGAAATTTTCAGCATTATGGAAGGATTCAAAAAACATTGTGCAATAGTAATCAATCATATCGGAGTTTGCATCAAAGAGGATTTCAGGTAAAGGATGATCCGCTTTCCACCATTTCCTCAATGGGTAAATCAACCAGTTAACAGCCCACCAGCTATTAGCCATTTTAACATTGTATTTCTCGGTCTTGTGTTGACATGTTCCCAATGAGAGTACAACAAGACGAAATGAATTGACGTCCAATTTCTTCTCATCCTTCTCAATGTCTTCCGACCTTCTTTTCACTGCTTCGGTAATAGCAGCTACAGTCTGGAATTTTAAAATTTTTATTTTTCATCAAACAATTCGGAAAATAAATACCACATATAAATTAGCTAAATCGAAGAATTATACTAAATTTTAATGCAATTACTAGAAATCAAACTGTATTTATACTAAATTTTATAAACTTAATACCATATAGTGTTGATTACCCTACCATTATTCTGATTTAACTCAAGCATAACACTTTATTATTTGATCACTTCTGTATTTTTGTTATTTCTTATATATTGTTATTAATTAAATTTATGGAATTTTACCGGATTATTAGCGGCAACCCCACCATCAATCATATTGAATTCTACACCTTCGTTGCTGAACTCATAAGCAGGAAGGTAAACTGGTGCAGCCGAGGTGCTAATACAAATATCTGAGAGAAGAGCATCCAAAAATTTATTCTGATCATTATCCACCTGCACGATATTATATCCAATATTCAGTTATATATATGTATGTATACAGTGTAATACATAACATCATAATTAATTCATAAATTTAAATTAAATATCATATATATATAATATTTATATAGTGTCAGTTTTGCCCGCTAAATCATGTCAAAATCACATTAGATTAAAAAAATATATACAAAAGAGACAGTTTTTAATACAGATCTAAAGACTGAAAATATATAACTGTCGACAATTTTGTTTTTAGTCCTATCAAAAGCTCCCTAAATTAATGACTTAAGTTCCATTAATTATACAGAATAATCACCTGGTAAGAGGAAAAGACAACAGGCGAGAGCTTCTTGATGTCAAATGCAGGAATGACGACTTTCGTCAGGGTATCATGCAGCCTTTTCTCCCCAAGAATTTTTTTTGCCAATTGATGAAGGTATTTACCATCATAGTATGGTTTTTTCACACCTCCAATTTCCTCAAATTTTGCATCATATGCTTCTGTGACTGACGTCTGACCAATCTCCTCCCAAGTTTCTGTGATCTTTAGTAGCATTTCCCCGGCAAAGGTTTTGTTTGGTTCGGACCTATATATGATTAAACAAATTAGTGTTTGAGAAAAGAATAGTTCAAAGTGTCTCGTCCAAAAAACTAATTTTCTGGTCTGCATGACATGCATGCTTAGTCTGAAAAAGTGCATGCACACTAGCATCTAAAATTCATTGCATATATATTATATGTATTCCAAAATATTCTAGACAAGGAGTCAGTAAATACTATCACCACTGGTATCGTAATGCCAGGAAATTTGTTGAATGAGGTTTCTGAAAGTTTTGTAATAAAAAATAAAAAAGAAAATTATCGATCAGAAAGACAATACATAAAAACTAGTGAGTAAAAACCAAGATCCAAGTGGAGTTTTGTTAAACCTTCTCCCATGAGTAGTTCGTGCATCTGGGTCAGTCATTTTAATTCTAAATTTAAATTTTGTGAGAAAACCCATTTGTGGGAATTTTATTTATTCAAATTTTTTGTGAGAAAAAAAAATACTTTCAAACGCATGAGCTAAACGAACTAGTGGGGCATTGTCAATTTTTTTTTTCATTGTGTAGGACAAATGAAATGAAAACAAATTCTTAATACAGATACTTTGGGGAGGGAAAAAAACAAATAGTTCGGTCAATGTCTTCCCCATTACTCACCAGTTGCCTGAGTTTGGGAAAATTTTTGGGCAGTTCTCTTTGTAGAAAGGCACAATCTTTTCGGCAGCATATAAAGGCCGTTTGTCGTCACCGGGTGCTGATATCATTGCCGCAATAAGACCACCAGTGCTAGTCCCTGAGATGACATCAAAGTAGTCCACAAGCCTGGCATTAGGGTCTTTTTCGAGTTTCTGCACATAGATACGAACACCTTATCATTAAATCAATCCTTCAGCGAAATGATATCGATATTTGCATATATACATACATATATGTATGTGTGATTAATATTGTAAAATTTTTGGGGCATGTAATATATCTACCTGAAGTTCAGATTCAAGAAATTCAAGACAAACCCCAGGGATGATTCCTCTAACGCCTCCTCCATCAATACTGAGAACGGTAATTGGTTTTTCCATCTCTCTTGCAACGGCAATTTGGTTTTCCACCTTAATTCCAACTCTTGCAATCGCTCTTGCAATCTCTCTTTCCATAGTGCGGAGTAACAAATGCAAGTTTGTAAATTATTGTGGATAACAATTGAGGAAGCAGTTCTATTTATAGATGCTAATTGTGTACTATTATGTATAATAAATAAATTGCGAGACGTATATTTTTACACTATTGTTAGTCCACGTATATTTTTACACTATTGTTAGTCCACCTCCTAACAACTTAAACTTTTGGATGGATTGGTAAATTAAAAAAAAAAAAAAAAAAAAAAAAAAACAGCTAACGTGTATATAAAAGAAAAGTATCAACTGGGGAAAAGGGGGGAAATTGCCTTAATACCCTTTTATAGAATGAAGTTCGGGATTGGATAGGCCTTAAAATCAATTGTCCAAGATCGAAATAACTAATGTCTATAGTTATTACGATATCAAAATTAAGAACAGCCAATAATATGCTATAGTACTGCAGAAACCATATATGGAGGATCAAAATTAAGAAACAGAGAGAAATTGGAATCTATTTTTACTCCCAATTTAATTATGATGATCATAACCCGGTAAATTTTATGTATGAAGTCTCTAGTCATAGACTCTTCTATGAAAAACTAGTCATTACTCTGTATGAGATAAAAAAATTTCAATAATTAAAGGCATTTTTTACTGTGAGACTTCAACAAAACCACCACCGGTGGAGTCTTTACTTTTAACCATTGGATGATTTTTTAACTGATCGAATCTGTAATATGAGCAGTTATGTATGACGCGCTGTAAATTTTTAATATAAATCCGTACAGATATGATCATTAAAAAATTAATTTAAAGGTTAAAATTGAGGGTTCCACCAATAAGTTACCTTTTTAAGTAACACTACAAAAATGCAAGTATTTAGTTGCAATTCTCTTTTCAGCCATACATCAAAATTTCGTTGAACTAACAAACTTTTGTGATTTAACACTACTATTGTACCTTTGGTGACAAATAAAATTGTTTTGCAAGTTAGTTATAGCATTAGAAAATTAAACACAATCTGTAATTCCAACAAACAGTTAATAAATTATTAGCCATACATAATACATATTAAAATTTTTACCAGCGGGGAGTTCTTAGTCGTAGGCACTAATCACACGAAATTTTTTTTTTTTTTTTTGATAATATACAATCACAAGAATTTTTAGTTCTCTCTGAATGACTAAAAACTCTCAAAATAAAACGGTACTTAGCAATAACTATTAATTTATTGTACCTAAAATCATTTGTTACTAATTTATCATGAGTAAAAATAATTTAAGTAACAACTTCAATTTTTCTTTTTCTTTTTAAAATTGGATGGAAGAGTACCTTGTACTTGTTACTGATTATCTTTATGATATTATTAGACGAGGCTATCACAAAAGCTTATTTTGTCATCAAGACCACTTTAGTTATAATCATACACAATTTTTTTTTTCCAAGAAAGAAAAGGGTTTGTGACCACCGCCCGGGGTGCTTTTTTTAAAAACAAAAAACAAAAAGCAAAAAAAAAAAAAAATACCCAAACTTCATTTTTAATTATGGGAAATCATGAGATAACGTTCTCCAAGTTTTCTCAAAAAGGTTTTACATGCATGTATGGTAATTGTAATGCTGAGGTTCATGCTTTCCAAAGAAGGCTTTTTTTTGTGCTAATTTTATTTTTTTATTTTTTTTTAAAAAAAAAAAACAAAGCTTTAGTTAACTTGCGCTAGACGTCAGTTTTAGGGCAACTTTAACTATATTAGTCATTTTATGTTGTTAACTAAAATAGTTAAATGATTTAGTTTTTTCTATTTTAGGTTTATCCACTCCAACCATTAACTATTTTAGAGAATACTTTTCATACTAGTTAAATATAGCTAGCATAGAGTGGTTAACCATTTCATTTTTTGTATTATTTTATTCTTCCAAACCACAATAAATGTAAAATTTTTTTAAATTAAATAAAATTATTCAAATTTTAAATTTAATAAATATTAAAATAATTTATATTTAGTTAAAATAGAGAGTATGATTGGAGTGATTTATTAAAAAAAATTATTAATTAAAATAACTTTTTAATTATTTTAATTAAAATTTAATTAACATTTAAAGAGTTTCTTTTAAAGATGCTGTTAGACTCAAAAAAGCATTAAATATACTTAAAAGAAAAAAAAAAGCATTGAATAAGATATTGCTGTAGTAATGCTGTTAAACTGAGGCAGATGACAGGTTACAAAATGTGTTGTCATCTATCCTTTACGTCTTATCTACTTCAATGCCCTTTATGATTTATTATTTGTTGTTTGCATTTTTTGGATTCTTAGGAAGGATGTAAATAATCCTCTGGCACTTTCTTTATTCTTCGAGTAAAACGCCTAGTACTTTGTCTCCTCCTAATATCAATTCTTTTTCTACTAAAACGGAAAAGAATCAGGTCAAAAGATAAGATTTTTATTAGGATAGGCGTATTGATTATTCGTTTCTTTTTTTTTTTTTTAATCCTTTATTCTTGGAGTAATGACTTTGCCTAATTTGCACTTTTTTTAAAGCTACTTTGCTTTTTATTTATTTATTTAACTAGTGTGAAAACGTGCTCCCCATATCGCGTGTTTATTATTATTATAAATTTATACATCAATTTAAATGTTTTTGAGTTTTTTACATATTTTTTTATAGTTTTAGTACAATAAAAAAAAAACTCATTTTAATTGGACAGTTCATATTAGAAAAGATATTTAAAAATATTTAAAGATGATACATAGGTAAAATAGTATTTTAAAAGGTCATAATAAAAGAAAACATTTAAATTGAGATGATGTAGAGTTCAAATTCCCACCCTACATTAAGGAAGGAAAAAAATAATTTTAAAACATTTATAAAATTATTTAGATTAAAAAAAGAATATAAGATTGCAATGGAAAAAGTAAAGAAAAGAAAAATGATCAAGAAGCAAAAAAGAAAGAGGAAAATAAAGAAAATAAAGCTAAAGAAAAAAAAAGAAAAATTAAGCAAAAGAAAAAGGAAAAAGAAAATAAAAGAAGTAAAGTGAGAGTGCCACGCGGTGCAGAAGGTCTTGTCTTTTTTATAATTATATAGATATTGATTATATGATATTTCCATGATTTATCTATTTTTAACTTTTAAGATCATTTCAATACAAATACTAATACTAATTATATATTTATCATCAAATAATGTGATATGATATGTTATTTTTATTTTACTCTAATGTATAATACTATTTGAAATGTCAAATCTACTTTTTCTCATAATTAGTAAGCCTTGAAGATTGCAAAAATAAATTTTTATGTTTAAAATAATTAAAAAATACAAAAGCCGCATTGATTACATGAAAAGATAAATATTTCAACTAATAGCAATCAAATGCTAAATTTCTCATATGTTATATTTGGTGAGAAATTTACCACAAAGTATAGCATATGAGAAATTTAGCATAACCAATAGCACTACATTGGATAGTGTTTTTTGTACTCAAATGCTAAATTTATAATTGGCACATTAATTATAGCATTACATTGAAGATGCTCTAATCTTTAATCTTTAATTATTTTTCTTAATCTTTAATTTTTTATCTTTATCTTTATCTTTATCTTTAATCTTTAATCTTTGACTTTGATCTTTAATCTTTAATCTTTAATAGGGCCTCCTTACGACTGGTTTCTGATCATTAGATTTAGTCAAAATTACATCATATTGAGAAAGTGTGCATGACAAAGTTTCTAATACAAATTTGACAGCTGAAAGTAGAGAACTATTAGTAGTTCATTTTTTGTGATCCCAGTAGAAAAACTAGTAGTTCTCTATTTTTATCAAAAATTATCTCTTCCTTATTTTCAGCCTCAGATCTGTATAAAAAAATTATCTATTTTGCATCTTTTTTCAATCTAATTTGATTTTGACCAAATCAATTTAATTGTCAAAAATCAATCCTCCGCTAGGGAAGGCCCTACAAGAAAAAAATCCTTAATCTTTATCTTTGACATACATAAAAGAACTAAACTTTATTTCCAAGTACTCCCCTCCATTAGCTACGTGCCAACTTCTCTCTTTTTTTTTTCGTCAAAAACTTCTATACGGTTTAGTTACTTCAAATTTTTTCTCTAAAATACGTTTTTCCTCACTTTGGTCCTATTAAAATAATAATTTTTAAATATTTCCTTATTTAATTCTTTTTCTCTTTTTACTCTTGAATAACATACAAAAAAGAGTAAAACTCTTTCCAAGCACTCTCCTCCATCTGCCATATGTAAACTTCTCTTTTTTGTTTTATTTTTTTAGATTTTCTTTCTCTAGCTTTTTTCTTTGCCTATTTATTTTTAATGTCAAAAATTATTCTGTAATTTAGTTACCACAGCATGTCTGGAATATATATGTTTTCCTCATTTTGATCCTACTAAAATAATTTCTAAATATGTTTAATCATTACAGTGTTATTCTTTTTTGATGAGGTTATTTATACAAATGTCGATTACGAGCACTTTGTGTTTAAAAATGTCTATTTTTTTATTTACAAAACTATCTACTATCATCTATATGAAGACGTTTATATCCTCATATAATGAATAAAAGGAAAAAACTAAAAGATCAACAAAATAAGAAAGATAGCATAATGAATATTTATATTTAAATACAAAAACTTGAAACGATTACATTTAATAAAACTTAATTACTTTAAGAAAAGGGAACTTTCTTTAAATAAAAAAAAAAGAACTTACGTAATTTTTTAAAATATGAGTTTGTAAGCAATAAAACAACTAAAATGCTAAAAACATGAGTTTGCAATCAAACTATTTTTTTATATGAAGGAATATGAAAATTATAATAAAAATATAAAACAAACTATCGACAAACAAAACAACAAATAAAAAAACTCATCGCATGTTTTTTATTTTAATGACAATATCATTATAAAAAAAAATGAGTACAAAGTAATATAAAGATCGTAATTATCAAAATGACAAGGTAATTATAATAAATATTATAAATTTCAGTATGCCTGTAACATAAGAGAA